AGACCCTCTAGTACAGAGGCAGGCAATTATTTGGGCCCATGGGCCACATTGGCAGTTCTGGGGAACTGCTGCAGGCCAGTCAGTACCCGCACACCCTGTAGCTTTTTTTTTTTTTTTTCCCCCTGCCACCACCACTCGGCAGCAGATGAGTGCACAGCCTCAGTCCCAGCCCTGGCCCTCCCTACACCTGCTCCAGACTCACCCTGGCTGGAGGGGACCAGCTGGAACCCACACACATAGACCTGACCCCAGTCACCATAAACCTGTTCTGGACCACCTGCCCATGCTGAGCAGTGGTAGTGGCCAGGCAGAAGCTGCTGTTAGGCATAGGGGCTGGTGGGGAAAGGCAGCTGCCTCCCCTTCACCACTGCCAGACCCTTCTTGCTGCAGCCACCTGGAGCCCATACCTGAGCTGCCCTGTGGCTCCTTTCTGCTGCCTCTGGGCCATCCAGTGGGCTCCAAGTGGCTGCATCAAGAAGGGCCTGATAGTGGCAGGGGGAAGGCAGCCACTTTCCCCTCCCCCCCCCCCATACTGAGCAGTAGCTTCTGCCTGGCTTCTGATGCTCAGCATGGGCTGGTGGGGTGGGCCATGGGTGGGACTGTGTATGAGTTCCAACTGGTCCAGAGTTGGTCCGTTCCAGCCAGGGCAAGTCTGTAGTGTGCGCAGGGTGGGATGATATTGTGGCTGTTTGCACTGGTCCTAGCCAGTACCATAGGACTGGAGTCCAGTGGCAGCAGCATCTGGAAGGATCTGCCACTGCCTGATTGGCCTAGAAATGCAGTCCAGCTATGGAGCTGCCCCAGCCCTGCTGTACTCCCAGTGGTGGTGGGACAGGCCACATGGTCCCTGGGCCAGGTGTGACCAAGGGACTTGCCACAGGCCAGACAGAGTCCCTCTACGGGCCAGATCTGGCCCCCCAGACCCTATTTTTCCCACCTCTGCTCTCATGGCAAGTCACTTGTACAGGTCAGAGATGGCATTAAACCTTAACCTACAACTGTTTGGAAACTTCTAACTTTAACAGTGCCCAACATTCCACAGATTTAGGATGGTTTCAAGGTAACCTGTAAGAACAGCCTTAGAAGACCTCATGTCTCTATGACCATCTTGCAGTCATATCAGCTAAGCTGATGGTAATGTTTTATTTCTGATTCATTGGCAGGGATCAGTGTCGATGGAAACCCCACTTCAATTCAGGAGCATTATATAAGCAGAATTCTGGTAGCTGATGGAGAGAAATCATTTCATATTTAAAACAAAAAGATTAATTTGGTTGAGCTACAATAGTTTTACATTGGGCTGGTCGCAGTGTACAGATTGCTGTAAAACTAGTTTGCCAAGCCATGCAAACCATAGCTGTACTATGCTGACCTGGGATTAAGAGGATGATGGATTAAAAAGCAGCTTGCATTCTTTCCTCCCATTCTATTGAAATGAACAGTGGCCAGAGCTCTTGATCTTGCCTGAAGACTTGCTTGTAGTGCAACAGACTGCTTCTGATGAAGGCATTTTTACACATGGAAGCACTGCAGTACCAGGCACTCTGAAAAGTGCCTGGCACTGCGATGCTTGCAGTTGTATAAGCAGTGTAATGTGCATCAGCACTGAGAAAATGACACTTTAACTAAAGCACAAAAGTGCACTGCTGCCATTTTCTGTGTGCTGACATGCATTTTGCCACTTGTGTTGCATTGTGTGCAGTTGTACAGTGCACGGTAGCTCACATGCGGAGCGGCTCTCCAGTGCATCACAGGACAAAAAAGTATGTGTTTTAAATGAGTTGGCAAATAAAGTTGACTACTTTAACCTAGGATTTTAAGATCTTTGGAGCAGGGACTATCTTATTCTATTTGTTCAGAACCTAGCACAATGTATAGGGGTCCTGGTTCTTGAAGCGGTCTCATAAGCACTAGGTGATCTTGCTGATGATGATATTTACATAGGTATTGCCATATTAGGTATCAGATTGATAGTCCATTATCCCGCCTCTTCTAAATAAGAGGTCACTGTCTGTTTTGGAGAAACGCCACTGTAATCCACCTAACCAACCGTGCTGTAAAGCGAAGAGATTGTTCCAGGCCTTCAAGTGTTTCCTCCATGAAGTATGAGAGTTATTTTGCTATTGGGTTTACAACTGAGCCTTTAAAATGTTCTACTAATCATTGCTGCTTAATATTCTCACATTTGCACAATAAATAGAATATCTTTTTGGAATGAAATGAGACCTGAGGAAGCCCAACATCTAAAGAAACAAATTTAATAATACAAGAATATTGTCATCAGACACGAACTTTATTGCTGCCCTCGGCCAAGATACTGTATATCTCCCCTATGAATAGCAACAAATGTGGATTATAGAGCTAGAAATCTCAGCATAGCTGTTAAGCCTATCTTTCTGAAATGATTATAAATACACAGTGTTTATCAAACAAATATTGATTGTGTTCAAGGGCAGTAGAACATTTGTTCCAAGGATGATGGCAATATTCAGCCATGCAGGGAACTCTTACCTTGAGGTTCCTTTTGTGGTGGCTATATTCTTAACTCCTCAAAAAAGGTAGGCTTCAGTATTTTTTTCTTCATTACTTACTGTTGAATGGCCTGGAGTTTCCATCTTTCTGGCCTCCGCTTTTTCTCAGCTGCCCTGAGAACAAAGTTCCATGGCCTGTAGGATGCTACATTTGGTTACAGTGACAGCTCCTGTACAATGGACATCCATCTTTAATATCAGAGTGTTGTTAGACATTGTTCTTTCCCATGCATCTTAACTGATATTAAGACAGGAGTATCTATGCATTGAAGGAGAAAAGAATGTGCCAACTTTGAGTGTCTCCAAGTTGTACCTACTTGAGTGAGTCTTACTCCAGGTAGTATAAAGGTAGCTCATGTTGCAGTAACATCAACCTGCTCCATGGGGCTAATACGAGCAACTTGTGGTCCTCCAGGATACGTTCCTAAGCACTTCCAGAGTGACAGAGGCAGGGAGAGTCGGGCAGCTGCAGGTGAGTGAGGAGGCATAGGGTGAGGAGGTGGGTAAGAGGACAGGTGCTGGGGAGCCACAGGTGAGTGGGAAGCTGCTGAAGAGACAGCTGGGCAGTCATGGCTCCTAGCTGTACACCTACTTACCAGCCTTCTAAGCTCCAAACCAGCTGTACATGTTAGAGAGGGTTTTACCCTTAATATGCAACTGCTCACAGTATGTGCTAACTTTATTACTACCTAGCATTCTTTAAAGTTGCATGTTACAATTTAACCTGTGTTAACAACACTCTCAGGCTGTCCTTCTGAATGTAAAAATTTCTGTATTTCCCCCATACTTATGCTTAACCACAGAATGAAACATGTTCTCTCTCATCTTGGCTACCCCAGCTTTTGTCTGTGTGCAAGGGTTGGTGTCCTGAAAAGGGTAGTTCCTGGATCTGTGCTTACAAAATCAGTTGTGCAAGTTAAGATGGTAGTGGAAGTGGGTCACCTCCATAATGAGCACATCTACACTGCTATTTGCATGCAGCAATAAACTCTGGCACAATATGTGCCGGAGTTTATTGTTCCCAGGTGCTGTGTTTTAAAGATGCACCTGGGACCACCAGCACACTGAGCTGGGTCGGGGCAGCCACAGCTAACAGGAGGCCCAGAGGGTCAATCTGTGAACCCAAGACGACTCTGACCTGGCTCAACATGCTGCGGAGGGACTGGCTGGGTCACAAAGATGCTCCAGTGCTGGGCTAGCAGGCAGGTGGTCCCTGCACTGAAGCATCCTTGTGCCCTAGCCAGCTCTGTTAGCATTTACACGTGTGCTGCAGCAGAGTGAAAAACTGTAGCAAGATAATACTTGTATGGACAAGTATTATCCTCCGGCAGAGTTTATTAGTTTCCTGTACCTAATAGGGCCACATGTATAAATGTGAGATGTTTATTACAGAGCTAATTGGCCTACTCCACAGTAAACATCTTGTGTAGATGCTCCCAGTAAGTAGTAGTTTTTTGTGAACTAACCTTGAACATGCATTCTAGTTTCTGGGCACCTGCATATGCTATCAAATTGTTATGCAAGTAATATGGGATTGCTAGGAGTGATAGTGGAGGCTTCCTGTTCTTTCTTTTCGGTGCTCACTGATTTATCACATGCCACACTGTGATGTTACTGTTACAAACAGAGAGAGAGGCTGACTAGTTAATGCATCCAACTAGTATACATTCCTAAAGTAGACCTCCTTCAGGGCTCCTCTTCCCCTACACCCTGGTTTGTCACTCTTCCCAAAACGGTTCCTCTGAGCTGCAGGTCAATTCCCAATGAGGGTGTTGTTTGGTTGGTTGGGGTGGGGGGGGGAGGAGGGGGGTTGTGCCTACTTCTTTTGGGATTTGGTCTCCCTGATGTTACCAGAATTTGATCCTGACTCTGTCAATTAAAAAAATAAATTTTAATTGTATACTCATTTAACAAAAATTAATCCTCAACTGGGTCTGGTATCAACCTCAGTCTATCAAAGCATTGTAGCCCCAGTCTCCTTCAGAGTAATTTGGACCCTTCTTCACACAAATTGGCTGCCTTTGCCTGTCAAATTCTTCCTGGTTAGGCCACAACTGGCAACTAGGCCTCAACTAATGCAGCCACACTGAGATTACTTGACCTCCTTCCATAAATTGGCTCTGACAACTCTAAATCACAGGTTTGGTAGTTTATGCCCCAATTGATCAATCTTCATTCTTAATTCACCTTCAAACAACTTCAGCTTCTCACATACCCACAGCCCTCTTTAATTAATTTTCCCCATTCCTCAGTCTTCAATGGGTTTCAGGGTCTCTTGTAACGTGGGCCACAGTCTATCCTAAGTAATCAGTTCTCACTTCTAAATCGGCCTCATTCATTTTTACAGCCACATAATGCAGTCCATGCTATGATCAAACAATTTTTGTCCCTTACTTGGCCTAAATTGGCTTCAGTGATCAGGCTTGGCATTAACACTTACCCTTCTGCTTTCTTTTATTCTCCCTCCAGGCTCCATACACAGTCACCTGGGAAGAAAATCAGAAGTCCACTCATTTCCTTAACTGAGGAGATTATTTCCCTACTAGGATAGAGTGAGCCTGTTCAGTGGCAGTTGCTGGACCCATCTCCCACCTTCTCCAGTGACTGGAGCTCTCTTCTTCCCTTCTGGACAGCTTGTCCATGCTTCCACATGGAATCCCAGGTAAGTTCCCTTACTTTCCCTTTCCATGGGAAAGGTGAGCCCCCAGTGCTCCCAGCTGACTTTGTTTTAAAAGAGGGCCAGAACTCCTGTGGTCTCATGGGAGCCAGTCCCAGCCATGCTATACCATGGTGTACTGGCTTTAACTCCCTTGCCACTGGCCTGGCTTTCATCCATGGCTGGGTTTCTGGATCAGGCTTGCTTGGAGAAGTGAGCATAGTAGGGTCCGAGGTAGGTCCCCTGCTACACAAATGAATCTGAAAAGATAGGATGCTGTGCCCATTTTGTGTGCGACTGTCTTAAGTACCAATTCGAAGAAAATTTTAGCAAGGAAATTTAACTGTATTTTCTCTAACCAAATATTTAGCATAGTTTAAAAAAAAAAATGGGGGGAGGGAGGGTTAAGCAAAATAACTCAATTTTAGATTTAGCCCCTCAAATAAAATATTTATCTTTTGTTCCTGCATCATTGTCTCACTTTTTGTTCCATTTTTGGCCACCTTTTAATTTGCTTATTAATTATCTGATCCAGCATTTACTGTAACATTACACGTTTCTGGATAGCTTCAAACAGCAGACATTTAAAAGCAGAATGGAAGTGGTTTGCTTTTTTTTCTTTCCCTCCACTGCCTGTA